TGACTGAGGCCTCAACATATTTGAATTCTAATCTCCTTTTCATGACCGATCATCTCGGGAAATGGAAATGAAAGCACTATCTCTTGAAAGTTATGAAAGTCCTTCAAAAAAGAATAAACCAGATAGCTATTCCATAATATAATTTGAAACATCAATTAACGAGCTAATGAAAAAACATTTGCAAACAAAAATCGTGAGGAACTTACTCGGAATCGAAGTCATTGTTACAGCTAACACAGGTCTTTAGACTGCCAAGTTTTTTTATTATCCCCATGACTTTCATCATTGAAGTGAAATATTGAATATTAACCTCAAGAAGACACAGATCTTCCCAACTTGACACATCAGTAGTTCTGAATCTGATACAACTATCCTATCAGTGTGAGAGACCATACTTTTTCTCCAATGAAGCGACCTTCAGAACATTTAACAGTGAGGTTCGCATCAGGTTCATTACAGCTAACACTGGTCTTTCGAGCTGCCAGGTTTTTATATTATTCCCATGACTTTCGTCATCAGTTAAAGTAAAATTTTGGATATTAACCTCAAGAAAACACAGATCTTCTCAACTTGACACATCAGTAGTTCTGAATCTGATAAAACTATTCTACCAGTATAAGATACCATACTTTTTCTCCAATGAAGCGACCTTCAGAACATTCAACAGTGAGGTTCGCATCAGGTTCATTGAACCTATTCATTGATAACCTATTTATTTTGTAGAGATTAATATTGAATACCTTCTATATCTTCTATAGTATATCAAGATTACCAACTATTGATCCCAAATACTTACTTGTGTATTTCTTCAGCTACCAATGGATCCCAAACTAGTTGTCAAAATTCACGAAATCACAAAGAGAAAAATCTAAAGAAATGAACTTTGAATGTTCAAGTCAGTTCCGGATATACCTACACAGTAGGTTGAATGGACTGAGCCTATCAGAAAACAACTGCTCCCCTGGCTAATACCACGAACGGCATTGGATTATATCCAACAGGCGTCAGTGCAGGAATCTTCACAGAAAATTTCCTGTATATGCAATTGGCAATACAACTGAAAGAGTCGACTTTCAATTTTGGAACGGGTAGTGGCCATCGTCAACCTAAAGTAAATGATATTCCATCGAAATTCATTCAGAGTATTTCTTGTCTTAAGTTGGAGCGAACAACAAAAATGTCACTCCATCTAGTGGACTAGGTATCAATCAACTACATATTTGAAAGTTGCCCAATTCCTCTGAATAAGGAAGAAAAACTTTTTTATATGTCAGTGGGCTATGCTTGGCGACAGGCAGTAAACAAATCTAAACAAATTACCTTTAAATGTTCAAAGAGAGATCTGCATAGTTCTAGTTGATCATCGAGGGTTTTGAAATTGTTGTTTCTATACAATTTATTTATTTTCAATGCTTTCAACAAATTCATCTACCTTTCTTTATTGCACGTATGGAGGATTTTCATTTTTCTTTATTTATTGTGTGGTTTGTTTCTTGTATATGTCCATATATATGCTCAATATTGATTATTGTTAATTTTGAATAAAAGATACTGATAATATTGTTAAGTTGCATTATAATTTCTCTCTCTGGTAAGAAAAGTCTCGTTTGGAATATAGGTTCAATTAAACTCCAGGTGTCGAGACTAATGGAGAATTTTCATTTTTCTTTATTTATTGTGTGGTTTGTTTTTTGTAGATGACCATATATATGCTCAATATTGATTATTGTTAATTTTGAATAAAAGATACTCATAATATTCTTGAGTTGCATTATATTTGCTCTCTCTCTCTCTCTGGTAAGAAAAGTCTCGTTTAGAATGTAGGTTCAATTAAACTTCTGGTTTCGAGACTAATGGTGAATTTTCATTTTTCTTTATTTATTGTGTGGTTTGTTTCTTGTAGATGTCCATATATATGCTCAATATTGATTATTGTTAATTTTGAATAAAAGATACTCATAATATTGTTAAGTTGCATTATAATTGCTTTCTCTCTGGTAAGAAAAGTCTCGTTTAGAATATAGGTTCAATTAAACTTCAGGCATCGAGACTAAAATGTTATTGGGGTTTTCTAAGTGAAAAAAAAATAGGGGGCGCTACAAAATAACTACTTTTCAAAGTGAGCGTTATACGAAATAAGTTCTGTTATAACCTCTGTTATAGAAGATAAATATTTAATGTTCCAATATTGGTATTGATAATTCTGGTAACATTTGTTATTAAAGGTACCCATTGTATCATTGTACATTTTAAGGACCTGTTTTGTCAAAATTATCAGTTCACTTGAAAATGGTTTAACAAATCAAAACCGGTGGAAAGAAATGAATATTTAGTAGAAATCAGGCAAAAGTTATTTTCTTCATCCTATATTCAGGTTTATTGAAGATGAAAATGAGGATTCAGACAGTCAGAGAATCAGGAATTACCCGCTTGTTAGGTTCTTGTAGTCCAGTAGGTAGTATTTTTCCCAATTATGAAACATGAAACTATTTTCATTACAATCAACTGAACCTCAAGCATCACTGAATATCACCGAATTGAATTTCATTACTTCGGCTGATTAACGGAAAAACAGATTTTAAACAGATTTTTTTTTGAACTTCCATTGTCTACTATGATATGAAGTGATTTGAAATCACTGGGAAAATCTGTGAAAAATTAAAAAGATTACCTAAAAAATAACAATTATATTGAACAAAAAAGCTGTAATTACAATGAAATGAAATACAAACAATAACCAAAAAATAAAAATAAAAATTGAACTATCGACACGAGATGAAAATTAAAAGAAATATCAACAAGAAATAATCAAAACTACACGTCGTTTCCATTGTCATCGGTGAGTTTGTTCTATCTTTCTGTTTGAAACTCTGGCCATTGAAGAAGCCCACAAGGGCCCCGAGTCTGGTTGAGATACATGAACGACACCTTCATAATATGAAACCATGGGAATGAAGAACTAGACACCTTCCTGAAGCACATCAACAACGTAAGTCCTCCCATCACTTTCACAATGGAGAAGGAAGTCCACAACGAATTGCCATTCTCAGACGTATTGGTGAAGAGGACCGACACTAAATGGGAAACATCTGTATATCGAAAACCCACTCACACAGGACAGTATCTGAACCAGGAATCCAACCACCATCAATCGACTGAGAGAGGAACCATCAAAACTCCACTGGACCTTGCTTTTGGGCTCTGTAATACAAAGGAAGGTCTCGAAAAGGAACTAAGCATCATCAAAAATGACCTCCAACGGAATGGCTACTCCAAAGTGATGCTGGAACAAGCTTTAGCTAGAAGACAGCAAGAGCTGTCGGAAAGGATAAGAAGGATTGGGTCCAAGTACAACATTAGAACCTGCTTCAGATCTGGGAACGCTATCTTTAGCAGCCTCACGAAAACCAGGTTACCAAACGCGGACTGCGATTCCAAAAATTGCATTTATCGGATACCCTGCGAGTGCGGAGAATCATACATCGGTGAAACTAAGTGATCATTGAAAGTACGCATTGCCGTGCACAAAAAAACACACAGCGAGGAGAAACCAGCAAATCAGGAATAGCAGAGCATGTTTGAACTCATCAACATAACATTAAGTGGGCTCAATCTGAAATCATTCACAAGAAGGAACACTGGTTTAGGAGAAAATTCAAAGAAGCCGCATATATGTTGTCCAACTACGCATTTAGCCAAGCTAGTGGCTAGTTTCGCATGAAAAACACGACCAAGCTAGTGGCTAGTTTCGCCTGAAAGACACGATCAACTCCCGCTAAACGGTCAGCTTCCGCTAAAACCGATGAAGTGAATAGTCAGATCTTTCCAGTCAGTTATCACCCGAAGTCGATTGTGTATACTAACAATCGAAACGTCGTGTAGTAACTTGGTTTGAAATCTTTTAATTTTTATTTTTCATTTCTTGTTTATGATTTTTTTTCTATTTTCATCTCGTGTTAATAACTCAATTTTGTATCTTTTCATTGTAAGTTCAGTTTTTTTTTGCTCAATATAATTGTTATTTTTTAGCTGATCTTTTTAATTTTTCACAGATTCTTTCAGCGATTTCAAATCAATTTATATCATAGTAGGCAATGGAAGTCGGAACTGATGAAATGCACCACGAAACATTGTTAACCACCTTCAAACAAACTGAATTGAAGGCGTGAAGATTCAAGTATATAGCTAAATATATGATGAGCAAATAATGAAATCAAAGACACATTCTTTCCAAAGAATGCGTCTTTCAATGGTGACATGTTATTTCAGTGTCTTAGGAATCCAAACTCAATGGACAATGAATTCTGCAAGAAACAGACATAATTATTTGATGCAGACTCGTTAATACATGAGTTTATTCATGAAAAACTTATAATTGGCTATGTATACATTTCTCCTAATGTAGATGCAGATATTAACTGAGTTGACTGTTCATCTGTGGATGATCTGTGTTGTGAATATTGTGGAATTCATAATATTTTGGACACCTATTGGAAAAACGACGAGCATGAACTCACGGTGATGTGCCCCACAAATTCGTATTGTACTATTCTGATGAATAGTTTGAGTATTATTCAACTCAATCAAGTGACTTGATGAATTGAAAACCTCTGGAACCTGGAACACTGGGACCTATTGAAAATACCTTTTCCCTAATAGAACAAAAATGCTGTCTCTCGACTAGCATTACGCAAATTAATTCTAATTGTAATTTTTTTGTTAGATAGTGTAAACATCAATACTTTCCTTCAGGATTTTAAATCCAAATGTGCACTGATCGTGGACACTATTGCGCCAAATGAATCACTAACTATTAGATCAAATAGTGTACCTTTTGGTTCGATACAGGAAGCCATTCCTTCTTCTTTTCGATGTTTCAAGGACCTGGTCCAATTTTGCATCCCATTGACAAATTTGTATCTATTCATTACCGTATAATGTTATAATTCTCAACAAATTCTTTCATTTTCATTATTATTTTGTTATTTGTTTCAGTACTGGTCTTCACCACTATGCAACGACAACGCTGCTATGAAAATCTTCTTGATTCTCTTATTTACCGGCTTCAGATTGGGTGGCGGCAAACGTTCTTTTTCCGATGATGGCAACGTGTTACATATCGGCGGCATTTTCCCCATTGCCGGCGAGGGCGGCTGGCAGGGCGGCCAGGCATGTATGCCGGCCGCCCATCTCGCTCTTGAAGATGTCAACGCCAGAAAAGATCTGCTTCCGGGATACGTCCTCAAATTGCACAGCAACGATAGCGAGGTAAGTTTTGGTTCTAAAGTTCAACTTTGATTGTGAAAGATCTACTCACGAGTCCCTTTCATATAGATGGGCATGAATCATATGTTGTTATCGTTGTGAAAAGCTTACGATATGAGGGTATTAATAATAACCGATTCAAGAGAAATGATTCGTTGAGCTTCTGATAAAAAATAACTCCACCTAAAATGGTACGAATGCAATATTCTATAGCTTCGAAGTCAACATGTACATGAAGCGAAAAACTATTTCTTTGTGCTGCTTTTGTGTCATCTGGCTTGTCCATTTATGTGAAATCTTCGAGAAATACTGTTTGTTACATTTTTTGCAAGTCTTTTCATGATATTCATTTAAAAAATCTTGTATCTTTCACTGATGTGGACAGGTTTTTTTTGGGATGATAAAGTTCCAAAGATTTTGATACACCCTTCGCTGGTTCAACGTACAAAGTTTTATTTTTATTGTACACACACTGTTTTCCGTATTCTCTCAGAAATATTCGATTGTATAACTGTGGCACCCCCGGAAACTGGAGGCAAAGGCAAAGGTAAACTTAAAACTCTGTAGGAACGGCACTGCATCCATCCTTGAGAGTGGTACACACATGTTATCGGTGTCAAATTTGGGATAGACAAATATACAACGGTCCGTCTCAAAACAGGGCGATAAGGGAATAACGGGGAAGATGTGTAGCTCATAGATGAAAGAATTTGGCACGTTCTTAATGCCATATAGATGTATACTTACCGCGGGGTGGAACAACGCTTCTCATGAAAGGTGACAGCACTGAAGAACTCTCTCCGCGGTAAATGTCAGCACAAACTTCGAAAGATCTGGTTACCAGGAATATCGGGGAAGCTACTAATATGTTTGCCGTTCTAATCTCACTCTACTCATTTGGATTAATGAAGTGGATCTGTGAGAAGCTGTATCAACTCAAAGTTAGGAAGTGAAAATTGATGCATCTACATCAAGGTGGTCATGGACTTTTCAGTTTGTAGTATCTACATGACGAAATGGTACTGGAGGGGGCCCTTCTCTGCATGATTCGCAACTATGAGAGAGCAGAAATAGAAGCAAATTTCTGTAGGGCATTTGCCTGAGCTGTTGATGAACTCAGTTTAGTTTTCGATACTAACTTGGTGATCACAACTCTGTCACCAAGTTAGACCTGTTCAGCAAAAGGCCCACTTGAAAGCCATTGAGATCACTTCACTCCTGCAGCAATACAAGGATAAGCCCATGTACTGGGCCTCCTTCAAAAATATTTTAGACCTCGACTCATCAAAGCGCCTGACTTTTGCTTTTCTCAGATTGAGTGGGCTAAAGTACTACAGTCTCGTGATACGTATAGAGGTTCCTGAAAAATTACATCCCTCATGCGCTTGCTTCATTACTACCTACGGCACTTCAACGGTGTTGACCGGAATCGATATTGAATGAGAAACGCCGAATTTATTGGAACTATGCATTTCTCACCTCCAGGCTCATACCAGCTGATGAACCTGATTAAGTACATCTTGACCTTCAGAGCAAGACGATATTCGTCGAGTAGTTTTCTATTGGTTGTGAGAGAATATCGTCCAAAAATAGAACAAAAAAGGGATGAAATATACTTAAATTATCTTCGAATTCTACAGACTCTATCCATACCACTCTCTCGAAATGATTGTTTTGATTTTTGAAGTCCTTGGTGGAATTATACCCTCTTTACCTTTGAAACTTGAGCTCATGTCGATTGCCGCACTAAGGCAGAAATCTCAGCCGGACAAATGCGGAAAGCTGTTATTCTTGGCTCACTGCGACTGCTTAGGGCATATGATTCTTGAACCCAATGATGAGTTCCCTAAGGTATGGGTAGTGGTTATTGGTTGATAAAGCTGGTACGCCCTCTCGAATGTATCGGAGCTTTAAGGATGAGACTTGATCAACGGAACCTTATGGGAAAAAAACAATAATGATGATAACAATTCATTTCCAAGAAGAATATAGATAATGTTTATACTACGGAAAAAAGAACAGAATGAAAAAGTACAGATGGAGTTCAACTTGAATGAAATGTATTACTTATATAAAAATTGATAATAATGAAAAATGAGAAATGAAACTCCTTTACACTTTTATGTGTAAGCAACGTTAATGCAGTTTCGTCCTACAAGGATATTTTCAAACGAACACAATGAACTCTTTTCATTGTATTCGTTTGAAAATGTGATATAAACACATAGTTAGTTTTATTTATCATTTTTCCTACCATTTCCTACCATTCTCCCACCACGTAGTAACCGCCACATCTATCAATATATTGATAATAATATAATAGTTTGCAACAGAAGATATTTCTTTCATTTTGCTGACGTTCTTCAATGAATTTGGTTATTGGTGGTTTAATCATCATTCAAACCACTATAGTGAATAGATTGTTTCCAATATCTGATCTAAATGGAAAACCCTACGATTTTTTGAATTCTTTGTTCAATATTTATGTTGACCACTACTTTTTTCTAAAATCAAATTTGAGAGTTTCAACTTGTTATTTGCCAGATCAATATAGGTGCAAAGTTTGAGTTTGTATATCTGTATTGATATGTCTTGAATATTTCTTGGTTTATATAAATCATTAGTCGGTTCCTTATATTCTGATTTGTAATAAAATTTCATAACTTCATTGAACAATATTTTCAGTAGTTTAGGCAGAGCATTTGATGATATCAAATATTGATATCAAATACTGCGGTTTCGAATGAAATAAGGAGAAATAAATACATTTTAAATATTTTACTGACAAAGAATTTCCAATATCGAAATATATTCCAAATATTTTGATTGAATTACAGGAGTTATTAGGATTGGTATCGGAATGAATATCTCGAAACATATACTGGTGAATAATTGAAAAGCGACAATCCAATTACATAAAACAATCGAACAGTATGGATTGTTGTTGAAACCTATATTTACAACTGTGTTTCAGCAGGAGAATGAAACATGTGAAAATTCAACAATGAAAATCAAACGGAATATTTTTTCTCAAAATTCATTAGAAACGAAAACAACGGTTTTATTCGGATACAATCAATGAACAGAATATGACACATTCCATTACAGTCGACCATCTTGAAAGTAGTACACTAAGAAATGTTGGGAAATATGAATACATTATCTGGAAAATCAATAAACGACTGCTGGTGAATTCTCATTGGGAGCGAGTTGGTTGAAAATTAATTCATTATCAATGAAACTTTCATTATATATCATCCATGCGTTATACATTATAATTCAGACTTGCATTGAAATGGTTGTTTACATAGTTTGAATAACCACAATGAGATAAACAGTGTAATTGTTAGTCTCTAATCTAAACATTTGTCTGTTTGTGTTGTGTTAACAACACAAAAATGAAATGTTTACCCTGAATTCGTGAATCGAGACTTCTGCTACAATATGGTTGTAACTATAGAACTTCTCTTGCTTTGAAGAGGATTTTATTCTACCTACTAGATACGACTGAAAAAAAAATGAAAATTTCCACCGCTGCAGGCTCATCAAAATTCTGCAATCACAGTTTTATTTTCAAAAAACAATTGCTATGTGAATAACTACATATTGAAAGAACATTTTTCCGCCGCAACTATCAAAACGTGATAAGCTCCAAAACTACCGAACAGATTTTCTTACAGTTTTCACCAATGAACGGGACCATTCAAAAGGAGGGCCTGCGTGTCCAATTCATTTTTGAAGTTATTTTATTTTTGAGGCATTAGGGAAAAATGATGAGAGTGAATTCATACGATGCCCGCGAATGTCGTCGATAAAACCGACACCCTGAAGTTAGTTTCTTTTTCAGTTCATTTGGCCGTTGCTTCTCAGTCGAGCGCATTTAGCCAGACTCCTTCTGTTATTAGTGAACAAAAGCTTCGTCCGGGGGCGTAGCTGTCTGGCTTGAGGCAATGTTGCCACCCTACGTTTCCTCATTTACTTTTTCATATATGAAAACACTTTCATTTTTCACAAAGGGTTTGCCAGTCCTCACAATATGACTTTCACAAATAATATATTTATTATCCCACCACTTTGTCAAATCAGTCGACATCTAATCTGATTCGAAATTGACTTCATTTTAAAGACGCCTCACTTTCGGAATCCACTCCGACAACGACATTCACGTGCCATCTTTGAGGACGGTCGTTATAGGCACAACCGTTCTTTTTCGCGATCGGAGAGGAACATTTCAGTTTTTCAAAATAACATCAACATCTACATATTTACGATATTTATTCAAGTATTTTTGAGCCTATGACACGTGTTTTGTGATTTATTGATTTGAAAATAATTTATTGTGATTATGAGTGATGAAAGTGGTTTTTCCATATTGCTTTGAGTACGTTTGTAGAATTTGAGGTTAAATGAAGGTATGTTTTATTTATTTACATCATAAAATGAAATAAATGTTTACATTTATCAGGAATCACACGTTAAAAGGTAAGACCTCGTTAGTCCTTAGCTCGCACAAGTTCCTCAACTTCTGAGAGTTGTCGTTCGTATGGGGGCGACAGCTGATTAACGGAAAACAAATTTTTTTCAAACATTAGTATTTATTATGTAACAAGTGTACAAATGAATTGATAAAAGATACAAGTAATAATTATTGAAGTCAGGAAAAATTCATTCCAAATATCGATTCATTCAAATATGTTTTTCTTGAAGTAATCTTGAAATTTAGAATAATAAAATCTATCGTCAGGTTGTCTGATACAATATGACGATATTATGAAAAAGAATTTAGATTTGGAATATATGAATGAACTTAAATGAACGAAGTATCACTTCTTACGTGCATACATAAGATTACAAATACTATTTTTTCCATAAGTAGGTTGTAATATGACGAAGTTATATGTTCAACCCTGAAAAGTTTTTATTGAAAGTGCTTTTTCAGCCTTTTGAGATCTAACGAAACAATTCTGTACATATTGTTCCAATTCTATAAGTCTTCAGAAAAG